TTTTGGTTTTTCTCCAGTACCGGGAACCGAACTCACAACCTTGCGCTTGCCAGGCAGGCGCTTTTGCCACTGAGCTAAATCCCCAGCCCCCCAAGGATACAATTTTTTAAAGGGTGAACTCAGGACTCTCATGTAAATTCAGAAGAGCAGAGAACAAAAAGAAGCAAACAAACAAACAAACCCAAACCAACAACAACAAAAAAACAAATTCAGATGAGCATGTGCCAAAGACCTTGGCCAGTTCACCGGCTGAGGGGACCAGGAGGAGGCTACGGTCTGTTACAAGGAGAAGCCGGCGGGCGGCTCACACGTGAGCAATCAGGGGCCGAAAGGAAGTCACCAGTAGATGCAAAACCGCCTCCTTCTGTGGAGGAGGGAGCTGCCACCCTTCCGCCTGTGAAATTTGTTTGCGCCTCCCTGGATAGAGATCGTTGCCATGTTGTAGGTTTTCTACAATTTGGGGAGCTGTAAAGTTTTCTTTGTGAAAGGCAAAGAAAAGCATAAAACTGCAGAGAATCAGCTAACGAGCTAGAATGTCCAGTGCAGCTTTGGAAGGGCACTTGGTGCGTCCTCCTCCCGCCCCCTCTCTCCCTGCCTGCCCTGTGGTAGCTGTGGACGCTCTGGGCTCCTTACGTGTAGATGAGGATGGTGGTCGAGGCCTGAAAGCAGAAGGGCGAGCGCTTGCCGCTGTCTCATGCACTGGTCTGGGGCACCAGTCTGAGGCAGCCCTGCCTGGTCCCTCTCCAACAGGGCTTTAAGAGCACAGGGTGGGTACACAGCACTGGGCTTGAGCGGGCCTCGGCCTGCCCTGAGCTGTCGGGGGAGAGGGCCAGGCCTGGACTTCCTAGCTCGGTGTATTTTGAAACCCACGCCATGCTTTTCGAGCTGTCTTGGGTGGAAGTCCACCATGGGCAGTGCTGGGGAAAGTTTTATGTTTTCCTATCAGCTGCGATACAACTTTCCTTTCCAAGGCGGTGGGGATGGCATCGTGGGCCAGCGGCGGCAGGGTGAGAGCCCCCAAAGGCAGGATGGCACGAAGCCGCATCCCCCACGCAGAGACAAGCGCAGGCAGGCTTACTGCCCGCGACCAGAGGTCTCTGCACCCTGGGGTCCCGGCTCCTCCTCTGCACACACTCGGCCCCCCAGCTGCCACCGAGCCCTGGAAGCGCTGCCCTCAGGAAACCAGTCGGCAGTCGTGCTGACACCCCGGCTCCCACTGCACCTGGGGTCACCAGCTGTCCTTTGCTTCTGCCCCGCATCTCATGCCTTCTGCCAGCGTTCATGGCTGGCGCAGGCTGTGGATTCAGCGCCAGGACTCAGCGAGCTGCCTCGTTCCGATGGGAACCAGCTGTGGCCCACAGCACAGATCCCAAGAGGAAGAGGGTGTCTGGACAGTCCTTGGAACGGCTGTCTTGCCCCACGGCTCAGTGCCCGCCCATGAGCCCCTCTGACCCCAGAGCTCCAGTGGGCACCGTCTAGAGCATTCTGGACCCAAAGGCCTCTGTAGGTTCTGGGTGTTCCCTTAAACCTCCTGGGGGCGGAGCGGTGCTGCTCAGGGGCCAGCCTCTCACAGGGGCAGGGAGCCCCTGCCACCCTCCCCCTGGGGCACCCCCCATCTTGTGACAGATGGGTCCCCTTAGTGACTTAGCTGCATGTGACTCCACCTGCGAGCAAACACATGCCATCCAGGGAGGAGGAGAGCGGGGAGAGTGCTGTGTCGGAGCTTGTGGAACAAAGTAAACCCAACGGCACGAGCAGGCCAGGCTGGGGGGAAGTGGTGAGGTAAGGAAAGCACAGGACAGGACGCAGAGTTTAGGGGGCCCATCTCCTCGGTTCTCCTGGGACCCAGCATGTGGACGAGGACCTGGCATGTGGCAGGTGCTTGTAAAGAAATCTCCACTGAATAGGGCATGGTAGGGCATACCTGTAATCCCAGTGCGCAGGAGGCTGAGGCAGGAGAATCATGGTGTATTGGTTTTTTTTTTTTAATACTTATTGCTGATATTTAGCATGTACCTATTTCATTTTTATTAATAATCCATATTAACAATAATTATAATTTCTTCATATAAATTGACACTCAGAAAAAAGTTGAATAAAATAACACCTTCAAAAACTCATTACTTTTATCTTTGCTAATGCAATAGTGAAACTTAGTATTTCCTTAATTTGAAATTAATCAATAGGGGCTGGGGATATAGCCCAGTGGCATAAGCGCCTGCCGATCACGGTGTATTTGAAGCCAACTGGGTTATATACTGAGTTCAAGGCTACTCTGGAATACACAGTGAGACTGTCTCAAAAAACAAAAACAAAAACAAAAAAAAAAACAACAAAAAAACCCCCACAAAAGATATCTCCATCGAATGATGACTGTGGTGGGGGCGCCTTCTGGACTTTGGGCTAGCCAGCTGTGGTTCTGCCCCAGTGAGCTGTGTGATTTTGAGCAAGTCCTTTACCTCTCTGGTCCTCAGTGTCCTCTCACCTGTTAGTGGGGACAGCGTGTGCACTTGGTGGGGCCTAGAGATGATTTGAGAAGATGAGACGGAAGCTCCTGCCTGCCCAGCGCCCGGCTTATGGTGGGTACCCACCTTTTCCCACTACTGTCCAGAGCCCAGAGGGACCCTAGGGCACCTGCCTCTGGGTCTGTTTGGAGACTTGGGGGCTGTGAGCCCAGGGCACTGATGAGGGGCCTCTGAGTGCACCTTCTTACAACCCCCAGGAGTCCTTCCTGGGCTCCTCGGCCGCTGAGCATCCAAGATCATCTTGGTTTCTCCTGGAGATGGTGCGCTCACTGCTGGCAGCAATCCCTGAGCGCTCGTTGCGGGGTCTGGGCTGGGGTGTTCTTTCCCGTACACTCTTTGTCTTTCTCCTGCCTCGGTTGCTCTGTTGCCCTCAGGGCTGTGTTGTGTTGTTCCCCTCAGCTCTGGCAGGACCCGGGCAGGAAGATGGATCCGGCACACACAGAAGCAGTTAGGACAGAAACCCAGCCACTGGGCTGCACCCTCTTTAGCAGCTGGCTCTGACATCTTCACGGTGGGGGTGTCACCGCCTGTTACCACTTTCTTCTCTCTGGAAGTCTCCCGGGCTGGCTGTGGCGCACCCATCCCCAGGAGCTTCTCCGGCCTGCGTAGCCACAGCTGTCACCTCCTCGTGGCCTTGGTTGGAGCGGGTTGTGAACTGGTTCAGAGCCAGCCGGTCGGTGAGAACCTGCAGGGCAGGGACCCGGCCTTGCTCTCAGCCACCCGCTACTGGCCACCCTCGATTGCCCCCATGTTGACCATGGTCCCCCGCGGTCGCCAGCTGGGTGGAGTTATTCCCATCCCCGGGAAGCACTTCCTGTCTGGAACTGCTGCCCCTAGCCTCTCCTCCCGGGGGCAGTCCCCATCCTCAGAGGACATGGTGGACCCTGGAGGTGACCCCAGCCCCTGCTTCTTTGCCACTTCCCACAGCTGCGTCCTGCATGGCTGCCCGTGGACCGGGCCCTCCTGGCCCCGGGGCAGGTGCTGTGACCGTGCTCCCCGCTGTCCCCGGCCCAGGGCTCAAGGGGCTTTGTGTGTGGCCGGAGGGAATTTCCGGCCTCTTCGCAGGCCTCCCAGCTTGGGAGCCTGGGCAGCGGGCCCCGTCCCTCCTGCTGCCGGCTCCGTGTGCCCGAGGTGGGCCCTGGCCCTTGCTGGGCTTCTGTTTGCCCCCGCCAGCGAGAGCCTGGGGCAGTTTTCCTGCCCAGCTTCCTGGATTTTTATTATATGAGTCTCCCAGCACAGCCTGTGACCCACAGCAGAGCTTAGAAATGTGGACAGAAGTCCACGTTTCCATGGCAGTGAGGGCGTAATGACACTTTTGGGGTGTTGTCTCCCCCCGGGAGCCTGACGGAAGCTTGGCAACGGGACTTCCCCGTGGTAGATTCTGTCCCAAGCCCGGCCCAGCCTGAGGACGCAGAGTGTGTGGAGCCCCACGTGTGCTTCCTGGCCAGGCTGGCTGCGCTCCCGGGCCTGTGGCTCTCCAACTCCCAGCCATCCACCCTCCGCTCGAGCGGCGTCCCGGCCCATCTGGAAGCAGAGCCGTGTGTCCCTGGCGGGGCCCTGCCTGAGACACGTGGGCCCTGACAAACCCCAGGCCCCATGGCTGCAGGAGCTCCAAACCGCACAGCTGTTGGAAGGGACATTTAATTTGAAAAAGGTTTCCCAGTTTAAATGGAAACTTCTGCTGTGCAAAGAGGAAGAAACAAGTTGTTAATGCAGTCCAGAAGCGCAGAAGCCTTTGATCTCCTGTCTTTCTGGGAAGAGGCTGGAGCGTCCTGGCCCTGGGGACCACGCATCCTCCGGGCGGATGGCAGGGCTTCGAGGGATGACGGTGCAGGGGCCGGTCACTGATGGCCAGCACCCCGCACTCGTGCCCTACAAGCCTCCTTGTGTCCCCATGTACGACGCAGAAGCCACTATCCCAGGCTGGGGGCCGGGCTGGGATGGATCTGGGTCTGTGACTCCTCGGGTGAACCGGGCCCTTGTTCCAGCACGCCAGCCTTGGCGAGGCCAGAGGGGACGTTCCCAGAAGTGGCAGGGACTCCTAGGTGACACAGGGACGGGCAGAGCCCCCGTGGACGGGATGCCCCTAGAATGGTGGTGGTGAATTTATGGCACCCGCGCTGCAGTGGGCTTTTGCTAACACTGAAAGCTCTAAAAGGCTCGCCCTCACTGCCCTCGGGGGAATATGACATCCACACCTTCCTGACGACTGGCTGCGCAGGAAGTGAGCTGACTCAGAGATTCCGCTCTGAGCCCCACACACGGAGTCTTCCGGAATTCAGGAACGGCTCCCGCTGTGATCCGGAGCACAGAGTGCAGTGGCAGGCGCTGTGCACGTCCTACGAGATTGCATCATGTTGGTAGAGGAATTCTCTCTCTGGAGTGAGATGCGTGGGTTAACATTGGGCTGACATGTTTTTAAAGACGTGGGGAATACCTGCGCAATCACGTTAAAATTAAAGAGAAGAACCAGCGATATTCAGAACAGCACATGTGATGTCGTCAAAGATGACATAAGACGCAGAGATCAGGGAAAGGTCAGAACGCCCCGAGGGCCACTCTCGGCAACGGTTATCTTTGGGTTGTGACAATGCAGAAAGCTTTCAGCTCTTTTTAGTCTTCTAGATGATCATGTTCCAAATATCTAGTCCTACAAATGCGTTCTAATGTTACAGAGGAGGAACCCACACGTGTGTTTACTCCACGGATGCAGAGCGGCATCGCAGCGGGCCAAGAGACCCGGCTGTCTGCACCGTCACTGGGACGACCAACGGCTGAGCCAGGGCTCTCGCCGGCTCTCGAAGAAGCTCCGGGGTGCTGATGGTGTCCAGGGCTGCAATGATGCTTTGTTTAAATGACTTTCCCACAGCTCACAGGCTCAGGATCTGTCCCCAGACCAGGGCCCCTTAGACGCTTCTGTCCTCTACCCTCCGTTCTCTAAACTACGGCCTCCCCCCCGTGGGCCCAGGCCCCGTGGGGTCCCCCTCCATGGGAACCCCTTCTTGGCTTCCGTCTGTCTCTCTCAGTGACCCCAGTTCACAGCTTCAAAGAGCCTGACACAGGGGCCCCGGATGTTGCTGGAGCTCGGAGGGGAGAGAGGAGAGATTGTTGTCATAGCTGTTTCCGTTTTTCCCTGGTCCGGTGGAACCCTGAAATAAGAACTGAAGCTTAGCCCCTTCAAAGCTGCCCCTCTCTTATGCTATTTCACTTCATTTTGAAGGACTTTATTCTTTCTCCACGTACGTGGGCAGAGATTTCCCACGTGCCCTGACCCCTCCCCAGGGGAACAGCACAGGCACAGTGCGTGGACCTCCACCCACGCGTCCTCTCCCAAAGCCCGCGGGACAGTGCGATGGCAGCGCAGCGTTGCCGTGGGGACGGCACCGTGCAGAATAAACCTTCTGCCCTCACATCCCCGGTGCTTCCTGTCACCCTCCACTCGCCCTTTCACTGTCACCCATTTGATCTTTTCTATAAAGTCACAGAGCTGGACCTTTCGGATTGGCCTCTGCTACCTGGTCCCAGGCACTGGGGACCCCTCCGTGTCTCTCCTGTCCTGAAGGCTCCTTTCTTCACAGCCCTGGGTGACGTCGCACGGTCCGGACGCCACAGTTTACCCACTCCCCTGCTCAAAGACCTTTCCGAGTTTCCAAGGTCAATGCTGAGTTTCGGTGAGTGACAGCAAAGCAGCTGTAAACACCCACTCGCGGGATGAGCGTGGGAGGGGTTAGCACCGCAGGAAACGGCCCACCTGCCCTCCGAAGCGGCTCTGCCTCCTCCCGCCGCGTGGCAGTGCCCGAGGCCCTGTGGCCCCGCTGTGGCTGCTCTCACAGGGGTGCACGGCGCTCACCTTAGGTGCCGCCACCGGCCTGGGCTGTCCCTCCTGCACCACCAGGCTCCGCTCCATCGGGCTCCGCTGCCCTGGGGCCCAGGTCCAAAACCACATCCTCTGGGAATAACGGACGCCCGTTGTGGCCCTGCCGCCTCCGCGGGTGGAAGGGATGACGGTTGCGTCATCCGGCCGTGCAGTGACGTCACGTTCCCGGGAGCCCCCGAGCCTTGCTCCTCACTGGTAGGACGGGCAGGGCGGGCGCAGAAACCTCAGCATGTGTGCGCGGCAGGGAGAGAGGAGCTGACGCTGCTGCGCTGACAGGAGAGCCCCGGAGGTGGCGGCGCTGGTGAGGGGCCTTGAAGGGACCCCTAGGCTTCCTTCCTTCCTTCCCTCTCTCCCTCCCTCCCTCCCTCCTTCCTTCCCTCACTCCCTCCCTCCCTCCTTCCTTCCCTTCCTCCCCTTCCTCCCTCCCTCCTTCCTTCCTTCTTTCCCTCCCTCCCTCCTTCCCTCCCTCCTTCCTTCCTTCCTTCCCTCCCTCCTTCCTTCCTTACCTCCTTCCCTCCCTCCATCCTTCCTTCCTTCCTTCCTTCTTTCCCTCCCTCCTTCCCTCCTTCCTTCCTTCTTTCCTCGCTTCCTTTCTCCACTTTTTTCTTCCTTCCTTCTTTCCTCTCTTTCTTTCTCTTGTTCTTTTTCTTCTCTTTCCTCTCCTTCCTCCTCTTCTTCCTCTCTGTCTCTCTTTCTTTCTTTCACAGGGTCTCACTAGTTCAGGCTGACCTTGAACTCATGGCAATCCTCCTGCCTCAGCCTCTCGAGTGCGGGGATTGCAGGTGTGCACCACTATGCCTGGTTAGGACCAGTGGTTTTTGTTGAGGAGTAAGTGGGAGTCCTGGTTAAGGGAACCAGGCTTCCCAAAGGGCTCCCCCATTTGTGGGTCCTCAGTTTACCTTTCTGTGATGTGGGTACAATAGACCATATCTCAACTACCTCAGGCAGGGTAGAGATCCAAGGCAGTCCCATGCCCCTGCGCCGTGCACCTCCATGCAGATGGGTGTGCCCCAGGGCTCCAACCGGCCTCACCAGCCTGGCTGTCTGTCCTGCTGTGCCTGGGAGACCTCGCCTTCTGTGGCTCAGCAGAGAGCCCAGGCCTGGCCCTCCCTCATCCCGCTACCAGCCAGAGACCTCAGCGCCACTTGGCCGAGGGCAGGGCTGGCCCGTCTGCTGCGAGGAGTCCCCTGGGCCCCGTGCTCCCCGCCCGTGGGCCCAGAGAGGGAGTGCTGCTGGGTTGTGTAATCGAGGCTGAAGAGCAGCGCTGACTCTTCGCCCCTCCTGCCTGACCACCCCTCTCCCGGCTGGGGCAGGCGGGAGCCACAGAGTCAGCAGCAGGACGGGGTACGCGAGCGGGCATGGACACATCCACCCCAAACAGGGGTGCAGGATGAATTTCTAGGCTCCTGAAGATCCACGGTTCCACCTATTCACTAATCTGCCCACCCTCCTTAACCCTTCTGCCTACCACCCACCCATCCGTCCTCTGTCCATTTGTCCTTCCACCCATCACCCACCCATCCATCACCCGGCATCCATCATCCAACATCCACCCACCCAGCCTCCATTATCCTGTACCTATCATCCATGCATGCATGCATCCACCCACCCACCAATGACCCACCCATACAAAATCCATCCATGCGTCCACCCACCCACCAATCACCCACCCACCCAAAACCCATCCATCCACCCACCCACCCACGTTCCCTCATCTATCTACCCAGCTGTCCTCTACACATCATCCTCCCATGCCTGTTCTTTGTCAGAGGCCGTCTCAGGAGGTCTCTGCTGGGTGGTGGACACAGGGACGGCCAGTGTGCTCCCTGATTCCAGGGGCTCGGGATGGGGTGGGAGAGGCAGGAGCAGACAGGGACGCTGCGCCCCGATTCCCCGAGTATGCTGCTCACTGCTGTCTGAGCACCCACCCAGCTCCGTGAGTGTGGTTTGGCCACACCATGAACTCTCCCAGTCTGGCCCCCGGACTCCATGCTGAGGGTGTCTCAAACCACCCGGACCCCAAGCCTTACAGAGGCCTCCCTGTGGCCTCTCCTTCTAAGACTCCATTTTAAATGTTGTTGCTTTGTGACAGGGTCTCACCATGTAGCCCAGGCTGGCCGCAGACTTACAGTGACCCACCTGCCTCAGCTTTCTGGATGCTGAGATTACAGGTGTGCACCGCCACATCTGGCCAAGACACTCTTGATGCCCCTGGACAGGGCCTCAGGAGGTCCCTAGCGTGGAGGTGGGGAGCTGACTTGCTCCATCCACGGGGCAGGTTGCAGGTTTGGTGAACTTCCATGTCCACGTCCCTGGTGACAGAGGTCTGTCCCGGGCGGCTCCTGTCTGTCCTGGAAGACGGAGAGGTCCTGGTGGGGAAGGGGCTGGACCCCTGGACAGAGTCAGGGTGGAGATGCCCTCCCACCGCCCCCTCGGCTCACCCGGGAAGGACTGCATCTGGTCCAGGTGGAGCTTGGCTTTGGGGACCTGGGGTCCCTGCGGGTCAGCAGACTGTGACTCACTCTCGTGTCCCTCTGTCCCCAGGGGAGCAGATGTAGCAGCTACCTGGAGAACACCCGGGGGAGGGGGAAGTAGGCTGCTTGTCTGAAGCCTTCCTGCCCAATGCCCCGGTCCCTGCCTGGCCTGAGATCTCACCTGCTCCCGGTCCAGGTGAGTGTGCTGCCTTCTCCCCATTAGCCACCAGGTGGTGCCAGCGCCCCATGGATCCCATCTTGGGCCGCAAGGCCTGGGCTGAGAAATGACCAGTCACCCTGATGGGACTCCACGGATGCCACCAGGACGGGTCCGGGGACACAGCCCCCCAGGGCCCCGCTGGGGCAATGCTGGAAGAGCCACACCTGTGTCCTCAGGTCCTTGCCCCGTCACGCTGAGTGCGTGGGGGAAGTGGGGCGAGGCCCCGGGGGTCAGGGAGACTTCCCAGCAGAGAGGAAGGGGCCAGCTCTCCCCTGGGAGGTCACAGCACGTGGCCTGGAGCTGGGGCCGAGGGCCAAGGGCTGGCCCTGGCGACAGTGGCGCGCCCCGTATTCGCCGGCCGCCACACAGGACAGGGGTCCTAGACTCTGCAGAGCCTTGTCCCAGCCGGGCTGCGTCCCTCCCTGTGGCAAAGCCCACTCTACCGATGAGGAAACTGAGGCTCGGGAGGGAAGGGACCTCCGGGGAATGGCCGCCTCTTTCTCCTCCCGGGGCTTTGCCCGTGAGCGCCTGTCACCGCCCTAGGAGCCCAGGCTCGGAGTGAGCCGGTGCCCAGCGTGTCCTGAAGTGATGTGATTAAGAGCAACGGTACAGCCAGGTGAGGCTGAGGCAGGAGGATTGTGAGATGGAGCCCAGCTGGGGCAAGTTGGTGAGTTATCGAGAACCTTCTGAAAATAGAAAATAAGAAAGGGCTGGGGATGTAGCTTTGTGTGAAGGCCCTTGGTTCAATCCCCAGCACTGCAGAGAGAGAAGTGGGGGGCGAGAGAGGGAGAGGGAGGCAGAGAGAGAGGGCGGCTGGGAGGGGCAGCGTTGTGGTCAGCAGCACAAACGGCAGCTCTGCGCTCCTGTCACAGGAGCTGGGGGCGGGGCTCCTGCCCAGGGCTTCCCGGTGTCTCACAGCTGCCCCTGCCCTTTTCTTGGTTCCCGGCTGCTCTGCCCCCTCTTGCCAATCTGGCACCAGGACAGCAGGGGGCAGCATCGCCCTGCCCAGAGCACCGGCTTTGGTCCCAGGCTCAGGGCAGCTGGGCAGAGCCAACCACACCCGTGGGCCTGGGAGGAGGAGAGGGCCTCTGACCCCCGTCCCGCCCGTCCTGCTGGGCCCTGGCTCTGAGCTTTGCGTTCTCCACAGTTGGCCAAACCCTGGCCAGCGAGCCGCCTGCTCTGTGTGCCCAGGTCCAGGCCAGTGTCAGCGCTCGGGACAGCGTGTCACACCCTGGGAGGCCTTGACCACATCGCCCTGCCCCCTCCCTCGACGATGGTGTGTGCTGGCTGGCGGGGTGCGGTGTCGTCAAGGGCGGGCCCACCTTGGTCCCGTCTGTCTCCCAGGTGACCACACGCACAGCTCCTGTCTTGGGCTCCCCCTCTTCCTTTCCTGACCAGAACCCTTGTCCCGGGGGTCAGGGCCAGCCGGGCTCTCCAGGCTGCACAGACCTGTCTTTACGCGAGGCCGCCTCTGTGGGTGTCGGGGACTTGGTCCGCAGCCTGCGGCAGTCCTCGGCTAGTTAGGGCAGAGCTGCGGAGCCTGGACCCTCCAGCCCTGGGCCTCAGCCTGTGGCCCCTGCCGGCCAACAATGTGAGGCCTCTGTCGCAGGTTCCTTTCTCCTCCGCACACACTGTCCACACTGACACACACCAACCCACACTGTCCACACTGACCCACACCAACACACACTGTCACACATTGGCACACTGTCACACACTGACACACACCAACCCACACTGTCCACACTGACACACTGACCCACACTGACCCACACCGTCCCACACTGACACACACCGTCCCACACTGACATACACGTCCCACACTGACACACACTGACCCACACCAACACACACTGGCCCACACTGTCACACACCATGGGCCCCCTGCTCCCGAGCCCCTCCCTATTGGGTTAATAATGTCCCTTAGTTACTGTGGGTGGATCAGGTCGGCAGTCTCCCAAACGAGTGGATGGTAAAGGCTAAATAAAAGAGGAAAATGGAACGAATGATTTCAGGGCTCTGGGAGCATCAAAACCCTCTCACAGAATTTGAGATTCTCTAGGAACTAAGACAAGATCTTCTCTGGGTGGCCCATATTTATTTAGTTATCAGAACAAGGGAGGGGAATATTCTTTTTTTTTTTTTTTTTTGGTTTTTCTCCGGTACCGGGAACTGAACTCACAACCTTGCGCTTGCCAGGAAGGCGCTTTTGCCGCTGAGCTAAATCCCCAGCCCTAAGGGAGGGGAATATTGAAGAAGGTCGGGAACTGCCCCAGGACTTCTCCAAGTAAGGCATTATGTTAATTTAGGAGAGCTCCTGGGCGTGGTGGTGCATGTCCATAAACCCAGCACTCGGGAGGCTGAGGCAGGAGGATTGTTGTGAGTTGGAGACCAGCCTGGGCTACAAAGTGAGCTCAAGGCCAGCCTGAACTGCATAGCGAG